CCAGGATGCGCTGAATATTTCTCTTTAATGCCAGGAAACAGATTACCATGTGCTGCACACCCCGTGGAGTTCTTGCTGAGTTCTGTCTCTGTGCCACCAGGAAACCAAAAAATGTGATTGATTAACCTTACAGCTTGCGCCATGCTGTCTGCCCTAAGCAGCCCCTCAAAAACTGATGTGAAATCTCTTTCAGGTTTTTATTAAAATTCACCTTCCAGGCTCCTCTGTACCTGGGGCGTGAAGTTTCCCCTGCTTTGGAAGTACACATGTTAGCGTGATCAATGCAGTCGATCAGGAGACAGATGCCAGCCCTGCCCCTCGCCAGCTGTGTGACCCAGAGTGAGCCACTCACCCTCTCTGGGTTCTGCCTTTCTCATCTGCTTAATAAAGGAGGAGCAGGCCTGTGCCCACACTGCCGAGGTCATTCACGGTCCACCACTTACCTCCAGGGTCTCCCCTGACACCTGCTCACTGTCCCGTGTTTGTTTTCCATTGCTGTTGTTTTTCACAGGTGACCACGAGGTGACTGGCTTCATGATCCATATTCGCCTCATGGTTTTTATGTCAATAATCTAGAGTTTGGAGTCAGCGAGTTCCCCGGCTGAACTCTGCCTAGGGCTGTGGTGTGGGTGCCTGGGGCTGGAGTTCCCGCCTGAATGATGTGTCGGGGGCTGCACCTGAGGCCTGGGGCTGGGGTTGGCTTCCCTACTCACCACGTGGCCTTTGGCAGATGCGGCTCCTCATGGGTCACTGGACCAGGGCCAAAATCTGCAGTCGTCCAGGAGCTGCCGTTTAGATGGTGCCACACTGGGGTTTTGGTGGCAGGTGGCGCCTGCCGCAGTGCCCCAGAGTATGTAGAAGTGTGGAGGGCCTGAGTGGCCGAGCAGTTCTGTGGAGGATCCTCTCTTGCAGTGACGTGATGGTGATTCCCTCACAAACCCAAGAATGAGCTTTTCTTGGGGTGAGCATCTGAGGTGTGGTTTGACACCCCCGTCCTGCATCAGAGTCGGGTTCAACTGCCGGCTCCAGCTCCTGACTCCAGCTTCCCCCCAGTGCAGACCCTGGGAGGCACCAAGTTGGGGGTCCCTGGGAGACCTGGATTGCAATTTTGGCCAGGCTTTGGCCTGACCCAGCGCTGGCTGTTGTGGCGTCTGGGGAGTGAACCAGTGGATGGGAGCTCTCTGTCTCTCAAGTGAAAGAAATAAGAGCATTATGTTTTCTGGTTCATGCCTTTGAACGTACAATGCCTTGTAAAGATTAGAGCTTATTTTCACCTTTTTGGAAGTTCTGATAATGAATCAGCGTATTCCATAGGAAATTAATTAGACCACAACGGTGATCAGAGAGTGTATTTAGCCCTTTCCTCTTTCCTGCTTATTGATCTTATTTTTTTTAAGTGTATTTCTTGTCATCAATGGATAATCATTAATGGAATCACTTAGGTCTTCAGAGAGCTACAGTGGCATCTATCAATTTTTTTTTTTTTTTTTTGCCAGGTAGAGTTAGGCAGTGAGAGAGAGAGTTATAGACAGAGAGAGAGACAAAGAAAGGTCTTCCTTCCGTTGCTTCACTCCCCTAATGGCCACCACGGCCGGCGCTGCGCTGATCCGAAGCCAGGAGCCAGGTACTTCTCCTGGTCTCCCATGCAGATGCAGGGCCCAAGCACTTGGGCCATCCTCCGCTGCCCTCCTGGGCCACAGCAGAGAGCTGGACTGGAAGAGGAGCAACCAGGACTAGAATCTGGGGTGCCGGCACCACAGGCGGAGGATTAGCCAAGTGAGCCACGGCGCTGGCCTCTATAAATGTTTTAAATGTTTTGTTTGACTTTTTTTTTTTTTAATGTAAAGGAGGTTAAAACATTGAACCTAAATACAGGTTGTAAAAATTAAGGAAAATATTAACTCACACTCTAGCTTTAAAACTCTTTTAATGATGTATTTTAGACCTTTTTTTAAAAAAATTTATTTTCTATTTAGAGGGGAACACACACACACACACACACACACACACACACACAGGTTTTCCAGCTACTGGGTCACTCTACAAATAGCCACAATGTCCAGGGCCTACAACTCCATCCGGGTTTCCCACATGGGTGGCAGGGGCCCAAGCACTTGCTACAGCTCTGCTTTGCTAGCAGGGAGCTGGATAGGAAATGGAACAACTGGAACTCAAAGCAGCGCCAGCCCCTTTTCTGTTCTTGGCCTGCTGTTCTTGCTGGTTCTCGTTCTTGGATAGCTGTTGACCTCCTCCCCAGCTGACTCGGAGCCTCAGTGCCACATCCTGTTTCCCGCCACCGTTTTCTGCCCCCCACCATGGCTTGAGGTGGCGCCCTCCTCAGGCCCCCTTGAGCTGACTGCACGCTGCACCCCGTGTGCTCCCAGTCTCATCCAAGCCCCAGGCTGTGTCTCCCACCCGCCACATGCCAGCCAGAGGTCTTTGCAGCCTGTGCCAACCTGACTCCTGTGCTGCAGAGGCCATGGCTGTCAAGTCTGACGCAGTGAAGAGAGGGGGTGGCAGATGCCTGGCCTGCAGGTGGCAGGACACGCCTTCTTCTTTTGGCAACAGAGTCAAGCCCCAGCCATCCTTGGTTGCCCTGACCCATGCAATGGGATCACGTCCTTCTCTGGGAAGTCCAGAGGGTGCCCTGGGCACCTTGGACCTGCTCTTGGATATGAGTAAGCCAGGCCAGGGTGAGAAGCAGGGCAGCAGAGCAGGTGTGTGTATGGTGGAGTGGTGGGAGGAGTCCTGGAACATCAGCCACCACTGACCCTGCCAGTCCCAAGACTCCCAGGCTTCTCCGGTTTGCTTTCTCTTTGGCTCAAGTCTGGGCTCTGAGCTGCTGTGGGAGCTGCTGGCAGCTGGGGAGAGCCTGCAGGCCCTGGCCCGCCAAGGCTGCCTGCCACGTATGCTTCTGTTCTAGGCCCTCTCTCCTGACTCCTGGCTGCCTGCAGAGCTTGGCCCCATGCCTGCTGCTCTGCTCCTCCGAGGCGTGCCGGACTCCCTCTGCAGACACGATAGCTGATGCACCTGGCTTTCTAGCCCACCTCTGTCCGCACACGAGCCTGCGTGCCTGGGCTCGGCCCTGGCCACACTCCCCCAAGTTCTCATTCACTATTCCATCCCCTAGGCTGCTCCCAGCGATGGCTGCCCTGGGCTGCTCTGTTCTCCAACACGAGCGGGTCCCCATCAGAACCCCCGAGTGCTCGGCCCTTCCCTTCCTTTGTGTTCTGGGGGCATCTTCCTGGGCTGCCTCTCCCTCTCTGGGCACTGCTCTGTCTGCCTCAGTTCCCGCACGCGGTAGGGAGCAGTGGGCATTTGGGGCATTGATCAGAAATGGTGCCGTTGCTGTTTGTGGTGACAGGAGTGATGTGTCACGCTTGGGTGTGATGTGAGGGTGCTGGCTGCTCAGGCGCGGGACCCCTCGTCCAGGGAATCTGCTTAGTGGGCGGGGGGAGGCTTTCTGGGACCCAGAGCTCTGAGAGAATGGACAAACCCTTGGGGCTGCTGGCTGGGCCGAGAACTCAGGATTCACAGAACCGGGCCACTATTGACCACGTCGCTGCTGCCAGGTCTTAACCAGGCCAGTGTCCCAAGGAAGCAGTGGGATGTTTTGCCCAGAAGTTTCCGGAGTTGGGCTGGGCTGTCCCTGGAGGAGGAGCCTGGTCCTCACATCCCAGAGATGCCTGTCTGTCCAGCAGAGTTATTTTCTTGAATTCTGGGGTTTGTGGGCACATCTGACCCCCAGGCCTTCGGCAAGCGTGTGCTCCTTCCCGCACTGGGGTCTCTGTCCTGCTTGGGGGTCTCTGGGGACTCCCTGGTCCCAGCCTCTTCTCACCACAAACCCTGCTGGGTGGGTGGCTCCCGGTGCCTCAGAGGGTCCGAGCATCTTGGCAGGCTTTGAGATGAGGACATGGTCCTTCTGGGCCCAGCCGAGCCGAGCGTGCAGCCCCAGTGAGGGGCTGCTGCTCTCCGCCCCCTGCCTGGGCTGCCCAGGGTGTGCTCTTCAGTTGCTGCCGTGTGCTTCAGGACACTGGGGGGTGCTGGGGCTGTGACTGAAGCTCGGGTGACAGCCTTGAGGTGTGGAGGCCTCCTGCGGGCGGAGGGCAGCCTGAGGGCTCCAGACCAGGGAGGCTGTGGACGCCGGCTGCTGGTGCTGTGGGGCGTCCAGTCCAGGCCGTGTTCCCAGGTCGGACTCATGCACTGCCCTGCTGCACAGGAGCCCCCGGCGCCCCTCCTGAGACACGTGGGACCACCCACACCGGACACGGCCTCAGCAGCATCCGCTCAGCCCTGCCCTCTGCCTCCAACCCGCTGGGCAGCTGGCCACATGGCCACTTGGAGGGCTCCTAAAGTGATTAAGAAACCATGGGCTTGTGTACAGCAGGGGCGTGGGAGGGAGGGCAGTGGGGGGGCACTGAGCAGACCTGGACCCCCTGCGTTTAGAAGTCCCTGTGTGAGCGATTGCTCAAACCAAAGATGGAGAGAACCTAGCAGCCTGTGTGAGAGGCCTTTGTGCATAAAGCCCCAGGCAGGCGAGAAATGAGGTTGAAGGGGAGCTCTCTGGCCCGGAGGCTTCAGCCCCCCATGCGCTTCCCAGGGGGTGTCTGTCACCAGCTCCTGGGCTGCATCCCCCGGGGTGACGCAGGAGGGTGCACCTGGACAACAGTGCATCCCGGCCCTGCATTCCTGCAGAGCTGGCCCGTCGCTGTGCCGGGCGCAGCCCCGCTTCCCTCTCATCACACGGCCGCTCACAGGCCCTCTGCAGGGAAGTCTATTAATACGCTTTCAGCTTCACCATGCTCGGTTTTGCGATTTTTCCCAAATACTCTTCAAATGTTCTTGCCTTTTAAGGGAACAAAACAAAGGCAGAACCCCCTCACCTTAATAATCATTCTCCGTGAGCTCCTGGGAGTCTAGGACCCGAGCTTGGACCCTCTGAACCGTGTTCACCTGGCTCTCTTTCCCTCCCCCTCTGCACAACATCACGGCCTTGCCAGCTGGCGAGCTCGGCGTCCCTGGAAGGGAAGGGACAACTGAGGTTCACCTCGGGGCGGTGGAGCCCACACCACAACTGCACCCAGGTGGCCACGGCCAGCGACACCACCGTGCGCGGCTGGGACACACGGAGCATGAGGTCAGTGACGCCCCCACGCTTCCCTCTCCTGCTCCACTCCCTTCCCTTCCTCTCCCCCATCGCCTCACACAACCACAACACTGGTGGTTTCCCGCAGATGCGCGTGGGCCACGTGGCTTGCCCTCACTTGGTTTCTGCAGAGATCCTGCGTCTCATCCTCTTCCTGTGCTGAGCTGGCACACAGCTGCTGTGGAGTGTCCAGCTCCCATGGCGCCGTCCCTGCCTAAGTGGCCGTTGACAATGAAAACTCGGATTGCCAGCAACACGGATGCCCCGCCTCTACCATGAACCCTGCAGGGCGACAGGTGCAGCCCCCGGGGCAGGGCTCTCGTGCAGTTGTCTTTGACCACGTCTGTGCCCTCGAGAGGCGCACCTGTTGGGTAATGGTATTTTGTCATCTAAGTAATTATATGCAGTAACCACCAGTTCTAATGGAACAAATAAGAGTGATTTTTCTGTTCCACCAGTGGTTTTGATAGGCAGAGGAGTGATGGCGGGCACGTCTGTTACCATGGCGACGGAAGCCTGCACAGCTTTTTTAAGATACAGTTTATCCCCTCAGCACACCCTAATTTATCACCGAGCGGAAAAGACGGATGTCTCGTAATAACTCGTGTCGCTCCCAGGGTGGGGGCACGGCTTTAAATTCAGCTCCGAGGCCCCTCTGAAAATCCGGGGCTGATCTGTGCCCGCCCTTCCTCAGCGTGAGTATGTCTGCACACAGCGGGAGCTGCAGCCTCAGACGTAGACCAGATGAACCCCTGGGTCCTACCGTCCGCTTTTCCTGTTCTCATTGTTTCTTGAATGATGTGAGGCATTTCAGCATCTGTGGACAGGAAGTTAAAAGGCAACATTGCAGACCAAAATAAACAGAAATGAGACCTGGCCTTGGTTGTCAGTGTCTTGTACCCGCGTTGTGTTGCTGGTGTTGTGACGATGACGGGCTCACACCGGCGGTGGGTCTGCCACAGAGCAGAGGTGTGGCTCCTGCCTGGGGACCCTCACTTCCCTGTCCTCAAAAAGCTGTGGTCCTGGTTCAGCCAGGATGGCGTGAGTGCTTCCTCTAGGATGTCGTAGCTTTCGTGTTAAAGCCACTCCCGCTGGAGCCTGCCGTGAGCCTGTCGTTGGTAGGAGTGTGTGTGTGACTGTCCACCAGTTCTCTGGGAATTGGCCACATTTTCTGCATTGTACTGCCTGTTTCACTTGAACAGTGAAAGTTGGGGCATCTTATTTCAGAAAAAGGCTATTAGGATACTGAAAAATGGCAGGATATGGAAACCTATTCCAGATTTAAAGGTGGTTTAGGCTGAAAAACTCACCATGAAGGAAAAAGAAAGGGACTGCCTTGGTCTTGGAGAGCAGGGGTAGGTGGGAGGCAGTTACAGGGCACAGGTGTCCCCGGTTGTCCACTGTTCCCACTGAAGCTGTGACAGGCAAGGGCGTTCAGTGACCCCAGGAGAGGTTGCAGTCCCACTGTGAGAGGAGGGGGGTAGGACAGCAGGGCGGCAGCAGGCCATGGGCCCCAGTGCCGACCACATGCAGGCCTTGTGTTTCTAACCCCACTGTGCGCCCTGACTGGCTCTGCCCTCTGTTGGGAGCTCATGGCATCAGAGGGACCATTGTGAGCAGAACCTGACTGCAGGTCCTATAAGGAGCAGTCAGGAGCTCTGGGGATCTTGGCTTAAGTTATATATGCACACATGTCCTTTTACGTGTGTGTGTGTGAGCATGTGTGCCACATATGCATAAGTATGTACCTGTGTGAACATGCGTGCATGTATGCACAACTGTGTGCCTGGGTGTGAGCATGTGTGCATGAATCTGTGAGTATGTGTGTGACAGCACGTGTGCACATAGGCATGAGTGTGCATGAGCACATTCTCCATCGACAGATCATGACTCGCTTCACACACTCGTCTTGCATCTCCCGTCTTCAGCATGAGTGGGCTGCACAGGGCCGTCAGTGGTGTCCCTGGGGGTGCGAGCAACTAGAAGACAGGCCCAGCCACAGCAGACAGCGCATCCTTCATCTGTTTTCATAGCTCTTCCAAATTGTCTTCTCTCTCTCTCTGTCTCTCTGTCTCTCCACACCGGCAACACAAGTTGTGCCACCCTCATCTTCTGTCTTGTCTTTTTCTTTCTCGCTGTGTCTGTCCAGAATGTGCCAGCTGTCGGTCCCAAAGGCCATCTGAGCTTCTCCAAGGTGGTTGCTGTCCCTTTGGCTTGCTGCCTCAGGACACCCAGGCCTGGGTTCTGGGAAGCTGATGCTGCCTGCAGAGCCCACAGCTTCCTCTGGTCCCCTGAGCCCTCTGTGTGCTGCTCTGCTTCCCTCCCACAGCCAGATATACTGCATAGAGAATGCCCACGGACAGCTGGTGCGTGACCTGGACTTCAACCCCAACAAGCAGTACTACTTGGCGAGCTGTGGAGACGACTGCAAGGTGAAGTTCTGGGATACCCGGAACGTCACGGAGCCCGTGAAGACACTGGAGGAGCACTCCCACTGGTAGGGTGGCGCCTGGGGGAGGGGCCCTGCCCTTATCTGGGTGACTCTTCACTGGGAAAGGCACCGCCTGCTTGATTTGTGCTTCTCAGTCAGTCAGCCCAGTTCTGTTTTTCCTAAAGAAATGGTAACTCCAAAGCTGAATGGTTGTGATTTATAAACACAGGAAGAGAAGAAAAACATTAGACTCCATTTTCTACGGAGACGGTGCTGGTTCAGCTATGCAAACATGGGCCGATGCCCACACGGCACTGATGCGGTGCGTGGGAACTGGGGCCCACCCAGATGTCCACCAGCAGGTGACTGGTGAAGTCACTCAGGAGACATCCACGCAGTAGGGGTCTGTCACTGTCAGGAGGAGCGGGGAGCCCAGGATCCCTCGTTTCCCCGAGATCTCGTTTGACTGCTTCTTAGCCACTGGGGACTTTTTGCCAAGAAATGTACCACATGCAAAGTGTGAATCCAGACAAAGTGTGTGGGGGTTGTGCTCCCAGAGGTGTGCAGAGGTCAGAGCTGAAGGAGGCCTCTCCTAGGTGAGGGAGCACCTCACAGGGGTTCTACTTCCCCTAGCCCTGCAACCAGAAAATTTAAAAATCCAGGCGGCTGCACTGCGTTCTGGCAGGTTCCGTGAGTTGCTGCAGTTTGCTGTGCCCTTCCTGGCCCTGGCCTGGACACCCCCGCCACCCCATGGCAGCATTTGGTGCAGACGAGTCGGGCTCTGTCTGGTGTCCCAGGTTATCACTGACCCCCACGCTGCTTCAGACTGCTGTGGCCTCGGAAGTGTCCACAGCTCGGGCAGCTGCCCCTTCCCTCTGCAGGGTCAGATGGTAGTGGTCCTCATCACCACCTGCTGAGAGCAAGTAGGGCCAGTCCCCTGCTGCAGACCCTCCGGGGCCCCACTCGCAGTCCAGCGAGGGCCTCGGGGACTCCTGCTCAGGCCCCGCCGCCCTCTCCCTCCACAGGGTGTGGAGCGTGCGCTACAACCACTCCCACGACCAGCTGGTGCTCAGTGGCAGCAGCGACAGCAGAGTCATCCTGTCCAACATGGTGTCCATCTCCTCCGAGCCCTTCGGCCACCTGGTGGATGACGACGACACCAGCGACCAGGAGGACCGCCACCTGGACGAGAAGTAAGGACGCTGGGGCCGCGCACGCCCCCTGCAGATCCGGGTAGATGATGCAGGTAGCTGTGCACCCAGCTGTGTGGTTCAGGTCAGCACCCACCGTGGTGGGTCTGGTGAGGTCTTTGGTGTGGCTTAGATGTCTTTGTGTACTCTTACTGCAGGCCCTGTGCGGCATCCTAGAGATGGCCACCTTGGCAAGGCTGAGACTGACCTTTGCCCACCTGATAGAACCCCTCCCCCCAAGGCAGGACACACAGCCATGCACACCCTCGCTGTCCTGGATTTGGGGGTGTGTGCACAAAGCTGTTGACCTTTGCTTGTGGCCCTCAGTTGCTGGACAGGTGTAGGCCAGCCCCTCGGTCCCAACTCAGCCCTGCTTCGTCCTGGGACACGTGGCACATCCTGCACGCTCTGCTGCTGAGCCTTGACACGTCTGTGAGGGGAGATAGCTCGGGGCAGGGCTCACCTTGCGACACGTGGGGTCAGAGCCAGCAGGACTCTTGTCAGGACTCTGCGTTAGGAGGCAGCACGGTGAGAAGAGGCAGGGCCCACGGGGAGACGTTTGCAGGGGATGCCCCGCGTTTCTCTGGTGTTTGCCGGTGGCAGCTGCTGGCTCTTGGTGGCTGAGAGGGAGGAGACTCTGCAGTGAACGGGTTGAACCCTAAACCATAGGCAGGCCTGTGGTTCTGCTGTGAGCTCCTTCCCGGGTTCCCGTGGCTGAATTCCACGCGGGAGGGCCTTCCCCACGGCCTCGTGTGCAAAGTCTCAGAAACGAGGCCAGCCAGGGCGCACACTGAGCGCATGTGCCGTGGGGTTCCCTGCCACTACATCAGGGGAGTTGGTCATCCTGGCTGGGCCTGCGTGATGACCGAGGGCTCCCTCTGCCTGGCCCGCGTTGGAGAAGGGAGCCATGGCCGCATCTGGGGCCAGCGGATGCTCTCCGTGGGCCTCCTGCAGTCCTGATGTCCTGTTAAGTCCAGGGAGACACAGAGCATCAGCAGGTCATTGACCACTGGCAGGTCCCCGCCCTGGGGAGCCGGGCGAGGCAGGGACAAAGTGGGCTCCTGAGGAGTGCAGCTCTGGCAGAGGAGGCTGCAGGGGCACCGGGCAGTGTGGGGGTGCGTGGGTGCTCTGAGAACTGGGAAGACAAAGAAGCCTGCGTGCTGAGGGCTGGGCAGCTTTGGGTGCCAGCCCTCAGTACGCAGGCCCAAGGCTTCCTCGCTAGCACAGGCCCGAGGCCCACGTCCTTGACATGTGCGCTGCCTGCTGGGAAAATGCTCCCTTCTCGTGTGTGGGTTGTGTGTTCCCGGCTCCTAGAGGAGGCTGTGGCTCAGCTCAGGGAGGACAGGCAGGAAGCCCGGCACCAGGACCACACAGGCTGGGTCCTGCTCCCTGCTGGGCAGAGGGGCCTCTGTCTCTCAGTGCCAGGGTCCCTGACAGCCCACGCCCACTTCCCAGCCAGGCCCCTCGGATTCTGCATGGGCAAGGGAGTGGCAGGGGCGAGAGCAGCTGCTGCTGCGGTCCTTCTGCCTTGGTGATGGCATCTCCCACCGTGCTTCCCTCAGTCACAGGACTGTTCCTGAGCCCGGGATGCCCCCAGTACTGCAACACATCAGCCAGGCTCCTGCAGGTCCAAGGGCCCAGGCAGCCAGGACACTCCCAGCCAGTGGCACCAACTTCTGTGAACCACAGGGTTTGGGGTTCCACTCCTCACCTCGGTAGTTAGGGCCCGTGTGACTGCAGGGCCCGTGCCACCTGCCCAGTGCAGGCTGCGGGCACTTCCCCTCACGCAGGGGGAGCACCCAGGCCCAGCGCGCGGCCGTGTGTCCCTGCGGCTCTCACCCGCTCACGTCCATGTGTGTCGGATTGCAGGAGCAAGGAGCCCCTGCAGGACAACGTGATCGCCGCCTACGAGGAGCACGAAGACAGCGTGTACGCCGTGGACTGGTCCTCGGCCGACCCATGGCTGTTCGCCTCCCTGAGCTATGATGGCAGGCTGGTCATCAACAGGGTCCCCAGGGCTCTGAAGTACCACATACTGCTCTAGCCGCTGGCAGCAGCCCTCGTCCGGCCTCCCGGTGCCCTTGCTGGTGTGCTGCGCCCTGGAGGCCGTCTGTTTTCCAGACAAACCCCGATCTGGGCAGCCAGCGCCTCCTCCCTCTCGTCTGGGCCGTAAAAGGCGCTGTGGAGCCTCTGCCGCGGCCCAGCTGACGCCCGCACGGCCCCTTGTCGCCGCCCGGCCGCCGCTCGACTCCAGTGTTCTGTTCAAAGGGTGTAGGGAGTTTGTTTTTACAAAGAAAATCCTGTCCCCGTAACATGAATGCATCCTTGTCTTGAGATTAGAAAGGGAATAAAGTCAGTGAGGCCACGCTGCAGGCCCGGCACCTCAGATGCCACACCACCAGGAGCTTTGAGTGTCTGTCCTGAAAGGATGCAGGTGGACAAGGTGCCTGGCACGGAGCTCCCAGGCTCTGCCGCCTAACAGCTAAGGGTGTGGCGCCCCAGGCACCGGGTCCCCCCACGCCCTCTGGGATTCAGTGATTCTGCCTCCCTGTGCCTGGGAGCTCTCTGCCTGTACTTTTCTTATAACCTGCAGTCTGCTCTGTGAGCAAAGCCCTCTCCCTAGCTTCCGGCCCTCCTCGTCCTCTGAGTGGCTTCTGCGGCAGAGCCAGAGATTGGAACTGGGATGTAGTGCGGCCACGCGGTTTCCCCATCCGGCTTCAGGCTCTCTGTGTCCTATGTAAACTCTGCTCTGCGTCGTCTTGTGAACACCTTGTAGTCTCACACTTGGACTTGTTACGATGCCGTGAGGCCGAGAAGTGTGCTGCCCGTCAGCCTTACTGGGCCTCCTGGCTGCTCTGTCTGCACCACCAGAGCGGTGCTGAGCAGGGTGAGGGTCGCCCATGGCAGGCGGCGTCTCAGCCCCGTCTGACTGCACGGGGCAGGGGGATCACCGGACCCCACTTTCTCCACCAGGCCTGGGCCTAGGCCTGGGCAGTGCACACTGGGAAGTGAAGATGAAACGTCTCTGGCTCACCCGCCCCTCCTGGCCAGGCTGCAGCCTCCACGGACCCCTCCTCTGACGACAGCCCCTCCATGTGGGCACTCCTCCCTCGGGCTCCAGGAACCTGGAGAAGCGGGGTGTACCCGGAGGGGAGCCCCGTCCCCTCATCTATGCAGTGCCTTTGGAAGAACTACCGCCACAGTGCTGGGGAAGCTGAAAAGCTTGGGGTGTCAGGAGCCTGGGCACCAGCTGGGCGACCCTGAGTGGCAGGAGACGGCCCTCAGAGGGACCCGCTCTCTCAGGGCAGGTCTGCGTTCAAGAGCAGGCCCTCCCGAGCATGGGTCTGGGGGGGGTGTGGGGCCCCGCAGACTCCTCCCAACCCCCCCCCCCCCATCTCCTGCAGCCGGAGAGGCAGAGCAGGAAGACACCAGGATAAAAGGGAGAGAGAAAAGAGAGGAAAATATAGAAGAATCAAAAGACTATGGGTGGAGAGCAGATCTGAGGAGGGCAGATGGAGCCAGCACACGAGGGGCTGTAGGGCAAGGGCCTCGGGATGGCAGGAAGCCAGCTGGGGTGGGCCCGAGGGGACCCCACCACCCTGCAAGGCCTCGGCGCAGCAGGAGGGGCTGAGGACGCCCCTGCCACCATTGCTGGATTTTTCCTGTTCTGGGGCGGCTGGGAGATCCCACAGCCCCCGTTCTGTGTCAGCCCTGCCCTGCCTCCTTGAACCTCGTCTACAACACTGACCGCCCCGGCCCTAGACCCCAACTCCCGTTGCTGGGCTCGTCCCAGTCGCTGGGAAGCCCCTTGGTTGTGGGATGGGGACCTGTGCATCTAGAATGTTCCTCAGGGCAGGAAGTCAGGATGATGCAGCCAGCTGCTAGGCTGTCGTGTCATCCCCGAGAGGGTAGCATCCCTGCTCCCAGATGCTGTGGCCCCTGCCATGACAGCATCTGGTCCACGTGCTGTCTGGGGACAGCTGCCGGCCCAGGACAACAGCCACCAGGTCAGTTATCCTCAGGCTGAGCATCCCTGCTGCACAGAACCTCCTGGGCTCAGCTCAGACTCTGGGGATCTCTGGGGCCCAGGCCCAACCTCTCCTTCCAACCCCTCCTGCCCCCACCCCCTGTGGCCTCCATCATCCTCCTTGGGTTGTTCAGGCTCCCCGAGGCAGGCACTCCTCACTGTTCCCCTCAGACTCCAGCCACCTGAAGGCCACTGCCTCAGAGCCCTCCCCCACCAACACCCCAGCCTCGTCACTGTCACAGCAGCTGCCCGTCGCCGTCTACGCCTGTTCACGCTCTGTCCATGGCTCCATCTTTCTGTGGACCACAGGAGGCCTCGGTCCTTCTAGTTCACCCAGAACCCATACCAAGAGCAGTGTGGGGCCTGAGCCGGCGCCCTGAGAGCACGCGGGCCAGGTGACTTCATCCTGGACGCCTGTCCAGGCTGGATCTGTGCGGGGCATGGCGGAGAGGACTGCAGAGGTCAGGGAAACTGACAGTGGTTGCAGACCACAGCCCCCTGCCTGCAGTCCCCCGACCCCGTGTTCAGGCAACCCTGGCCCAAGAGTGGCTGTACCCTGCAGCATGGCTGTCCTGTACCCCGTGTGGTGTGACTCCTCCTGTAGCCTGTGTGGGTGACTCCTCCTGTACCCCACCTGGTGTGACTGTCCTGTACCCGACATGGTATAACTGTTCTATACCCCGCCTGGTGTGACTGTCTCGTACCCCACATGGTACAACTGTTCTATACCCCACCTGGTGTGGCTGTCCTCCTGTACCCCGTGTGGTGTGGCTCCTCCTGTACCCCACCAGGTGTGACTGTCCTGTACCCCGCCAGGTGTGACTGTCCTGTACTTGTGGCATGGCTGTCCTCACGTTTCCTGCAGGACTCTGTGAGGCCAGAGCCCACTGTAGAGGGCAGTGTCACGTTCCTTCCGAAAACCACAGTCCTGAGTTCCAGAACGCAGCTGGCCACAGGGCTTTGGACCCACAGCCACCCATCCTGGCTCCCCCGCCTCGCAGGACCACCCTCTGCACCAGGAAAAGGAGCCGCTCTCCTCTCGGAGGTTCTTCCCACTTCCGCCTCCCTAACCTTCCTCATGTGCCTCTTCCCCACCTGAAATACCAGGCAGCTTCCCCCATGGCCTCTGGCCTCTGCAGCCTCTGTCCCGCAGTCCACACCAGTCCCTCTTCCAGTCCACCTGCGAGGGAGAGCCAGCCTTGGGCCTTGCGTGCTGGATTCTCTCCCAGGGTCCCCGTGTGGCCTCTCGCCCCAGGCACTGCCAGCCAATTCCAGCTCTTCTGTGGGTCTCTCAAGGAAGTGCCAGGACAGGAAGATGAATGCGCACCTGCCAGGGTGGGGTGCTGGGGCCAGGCGTCCAGGGTCATGTCCTGCTGCATGGGCTGCTGTTCTATTGGAAGATCCAACCCCTCCTTCAGGGTGTTACTTTGGGGATTTGTTTACCCTGACACATGTAGGACATGGCCTGCCCGTTTGTGTGTTCAAGACTTAACCCCAATGTGATGGTATTGTGGGGGCCTTTGGAAGGTAATTAGGGTTACATGAGGCCAGCAGGGTGGGGACCACACAATTGGGTTCATACGCTTATAGGAGACAACAAAGGCCTCCACCCCCACCTCCATGTGCCCCCCGTGCACTGGCATGAGGTCACAGCAGGAAGGGGGTGCCCACCCAAGCGGCTGAGACAGTGCCCAGTTAAGTAGGGACACACACATGTATGTCCATCCTAAAACACTGGCCAGAAGCCATGTCAGCCAAGTGGGAGCACATTTTATGTTAGGATGTAGGGTTTCCCCTACAGCTGGGTTCCTGGCAGCAGGAGCTGGGTGGAAAGCAGACGAGAGGCAGGGAGCAGTCCATGAGCTTTCCGTCTCAGCAACAGCTGCCCCAGGGCAGAAGTGAGCGCAGTGGGAGCTGGTGAGGTGTGCCGCAGGGGAGGGCACGGGCAGAGCCCACAGGCGTGGTGCCCCGGCCATGGTGCTGGAGCAACGCTGTGGACAGTGGTCCCATCTCCGCTTTCCAGATGAGCTCTCACGCTGGGTGCCTTGCTCTGGGTGGAGGCACATGGAGTGTCCGCTCACTCAGGCCCTTGCACGCTGCTTCCGCTGGCCTGGGTGACAGCTCTCGTGCTTCAGTTTAAACCACTCGACGTAGTCGTTCTCCCTGTTACTCTGTCCAGTGCCACTCCCTTTCCCATCACAGCGCTCACCCACTGGGAGATGAATGTTACGGCGCTCACCCCTACGAGACCACACGTGTCATGAGGGCAGGAAGTCCTCCTCTTCATTGCCATGTCCTCAGCACCCAGCACAGGGCCTGGCACAAGTGGGTGGATGGACAAAGCAGATAGTTACGTGGGTGGATATTTGAGTGGGTATATATATGGGTGAGTGGAAGAGTGGGTAGACGGATGGATGCGTTAATGAGTAGATAGTTCAGTGGGTGAATGGACGGGTGATTTAATGAGTGAATCGTTGAATGGATGGTCACATGCATGAGTTAATGAGTGGGTAGGTGAGTGGGTGGATGGATGGGTTAATGAGTTGATAGTTGAGTCGGTGGATGGATGGATAAGTTAATGAATGGATAGTTGAGTGGGCGGATGAGTGAGTGGATGCAGGGATGAATATGAATGACTTGAAAATTCTTGAGCCAAGGCAAAAACGAAACCCAAAAACCATGTGATGAAGTAAAGAACAGGTTGGTTGGCAAAACCCAGAGCCCTGTTCGTGCCACCCTGAGTGCTCTGTGAGTCCTGTGAAGTCAGTGCAGCCCAAGGGTCTCTCCTGCAAACGAACTCCTTGCTGGGACTTAGTGCGGTGGGTGTCGGGCGCTGGCATAGTCCTGTGGGTCTTGTTCTAAACACAGCGGGGAGCCCTCTCCACGTTGAATGGAGCCACCAAGTCTCAGATGTTTCTCGCCTTCCTCAGCTCATACAAAGGTTCTTCTATGGAAGTATCAGTAAAGGACTGAAACCTCATACTCCCTGGAGGGATGAATGGAGATCCCACCGCAGATGCAAGCTGATGTTTGGTGGAAAATGCACTGAGAGCCCTCGCTTGGTCCTAGACAGCAGAGGATAAAACTGGACTCCCCAGGATGCTGTCCACTGCATGTGGGTCCAGAGTGGCGGTCTGTAAACACATAAAGCATTGTGCAGTGTGCAAGCCCATTTCCTAAGAATCAGCAGAGGTGGCTCTGGGATCACCCGCCCCTCGGTGGGCATATTCTATGTCTGTCTCTTCTCTCGGGTAATAGATCCTTAAAAACGCGTGCCGTGCACCAGGTGCCTGGCGAGCTGCCTGCCTGTGCAGGGGCCCAGAGCGCTTCCCAGCCACTGTGCAGCTAAGCATCCCACACTGCGGAATCAC